AAAGTCGCACACAGCTTTAACTAGACGATTTGATAGCGATCAATTTCGAGGTATCTATCTTTTTGCACCGGACCATATGTTGATATTGGTGTTAAGATTCGTCCCGTGGATGTAAGTTTAGCTTTGATGAAGCTAGATTTGCAATTTTTTTCGGTGGGGTTGAGCGTGGTTGTCTCTTTTCTTGCTTTATTGGTTTTCTTTGGATTTTGACGATTCTTCTTCTATGTTGGATTCTCGATCGCTTTCTACAGTGGAAAGGAAATCAGTATCGCGTTCATTTGCTGATTGATTTTTCTAAAACGGTTGAGGCTGAATTATCAGGCCGATTTCGTTTCCGTGATTGATTGGGAGGGGCGGGGGTTTTTTCGAAAAGGGATTCATACATGAGTGATCTTTTTGAGATGAATTAGGTAGAGGCACTGATCTTTGTTCGTCAACTATCATCTCGTTCGTATAATGACTTTTACGTAACAATTGTATAGCGGAAAGGAAGAATGAGCGGAATTATTAAGTTGACGATATATTCGTGCAGTATTTCGAAAATTACGGAGCTTTTCTAGTTGCATATAGAACCACATTATCCATACGGGATGAAGACAAAATCGAGGGTCATATCCTATCAATTGAGATTTAATATACTTGCCATATGTCATGGTTTTCGCACTAGAATTCGAACGATTACATATGTCATCATAAAATCCGCGACTATCCGGGAACAGATCGGGAAATAAAATTGCCTCTAGTTCAGGATTATCTGATATTTGCGTTGCTTGTGGCCAGACAGTAGGTGAGATTTGGGAATTATGTGCGAATAAATGGGAAGCAATGGAATGATAAGCGGACAAATAAGGGTTATTTTGTTGGAGCCAATCACAGGCATAACGTAAGGATGGATACCAACTATTGTCAGAAAATAAGTCATTGTTGCTTTGCAAAAAGGCACTGATCATGCCAGAGTAGAGTACAAATGTTCTTCTATTTTTAGAATACCCCATTTGACCAGTAAGTGATCGGTATTCTATGAAAGGATTTGTGCCAGCAGATCGACCTAAACTGGTATGTAGATAAATGGGGGACAGATATTTTCTTTTTGCATATTAATATGGGACATTGTGAATACATTGAGGTATTTGAGTAAGCGGAAGGCATACTCTGTTATTAGAATTTGATTTACTGTACATCCATCGCAAACTGCAACTTTTGTTGGTTGCGCGGATTATTAGTAAGATTTATTTCAGGGAAAGACGTTTCTAATGGATATACAATGTTATTATCTCTGGTTACCCATTTCGCAGATAGCGGATATAATAAACGGGAACAATACAGGGGACACATGGAAACTGAGCATAGTCGTCTTCATGAAGTATACGTAAAATTTTTTGAAATCTGTCAGAAGGACGCCAATGCGGGGTGGGGGAAGGATTGGAAGTTTGGTGAAGTAATATATCGGATTGGGAAGATGAGGACAGTGTAGAATGGTAGTTATCGACAGAGGGTGATGAATCACTAGCACGGAAGACGGTTTCATTTGTTTGGAGAGAATCGATTGTGAATATATCGATAACTTGAGACATTTTAGTTTATCGGTGGTTTGGTTTTTTTCTATTAAGTGGATAGAGGTTGATTGTTGTTTTGATGAACCGATAACGATGTAAAGTAATCACAGGGGATGCGGAAGATATTGATATGTTATTTATTAAATTCTTCTGCACAACAATCATTATGATAAAATGATAGACATGGACTTTATCGTTATTAGCCTTAATTAATTTAAATACGATAAAATTATTTGGCTATTTTTGTCGAATGAGGAAGAGTATATAATTAAAGACATGAATTGTGTTATGACATAACCATGGGAAATAGAGAATTTTAAGTAAACGCAAACATTTATTATTTAATGATGTCATTGATTTTCAATAATGGATGATGTCATCGTTTTTAACGGAAGTGGAATAGTGTTAGCCCCTAGAAATGTTGATGACGTTCAACTACTGACTCTACCATTGACAACACTCGCTCGCATTGATATTCTATTACATAACATATTGTACATTAGATATGAATCTATTGTCGGAACTGCAAGAGGTACAAGTACACTAGTTTTAACATGGTTAAAATTAAGCTTAGCTGAATTTTGATGTGTCACTGGTGTTTGCGAATTCTAAGAATAGATAGAAGTAACTAAATTGAGAAGTCTTTTAGGAATTGAGCGTAGAACATATTTTTCTTGGTTTAAATAGTTTTATTTGTTTAGTTGTTGATATCATGATAACTATATGACGAAAGGGTGTATACAAACTTCAGTATTTCCTGCACTTTAGGATGATGACACTAGTTATTATGATTATGTTGTTAGGTATCTTAAGAAAGTATGGTCCGTTTACCATCCATCGTCATCATGACGAAGATGACAGGAGCAAACGACAAAAGGCTGTCGACTATAAAAAAGACTCCCTCAGAGGTGGGCGGGTGGGTTCATATACCTATGAGATAAAATCCCCCGGAAAGATCTTCATAAAATATTACTGTAAACGTGTATTTGACGAATAAGTATCAAGAAAAAGTCGAAAGAAGTTAGTAACATGCCCAGGTGATGGCGATGGAAATATACCTTATGTGAAATGTAATTTGAAATTTAATCTGTATGACCAACATGTAAAATTATAGTAATCAAGGTCTACGATAACTGTACATTTATTACATGAAGACATTTTTCCTCATCCTCATCAGATATATATGACTGCAACCGTATATGGAATAAAATAGTCACACTTTGAAACAGCAAAAAAGCAGACAGCTTACCTAATGTCGCGATATTTTTATCTGAACTTTACATTGTTTTCTTAAGGCCAGTTCTTATACCAATTACAATATATATATTGATATACATATCGGAACATATTATGACAGTAAAACCACCCAATATTAGTATTCGCCTTGCATCGTATTAGGAATGGAGAAAAATGAAAGTGGAGATAAAGGATAGAGGGAAGATTTTTGGAGATTAATTTGACCGGAATGATATAAAGGAAAAATTGAGTTGAGAAGAAGAGAAAGGTGTGGCCAATGATTGTGGTATTATCTGCATATGCCTGAAAAGTAAGAGTAGGGACAGACATAATAAGGTTGAAAAGGGGTTAGATAGAAAGATTAAATAATAGAGGGGCAAAGGGGTCCCCTTGAGGGACACCTTGAAGGACAGGAAAGGGGGAGCTTAGAAAATTATTGATTTTTATGGAAGTCATATGGTTATGATATGAACAGTGTGTAAGTCGAATAAAAGAAAGATGAGTGGTATAGGATAAAGTCTAACCATGAGTGAGAAATTTGGTCATAAGCCTTGGACCAGTCTACAGATAGGACAAAGGCTTCAGGAGGAGAATTTGGAATGGTAAGGTAAGAGTTAATGTCAAGAATGGTATCATAAATATTTCTTGTTTTCATAAAAACCAGTTTGAAAATAGTGAATTAGGGAGTGAGCATAAGCATGGGATTGAACGCGGGAGGCAAGGATGGAGGAAAGGAGTTTAATGTCAGTGTTAGAGAGTGTGATAGGATGAAGATTCGTTATTATTATATAATGAGGGTCAGTATTTTTCCTATGAATGAGAATAGTGGTGGTTTGAGACCAGGATGGGGGAGGAGAAAAACCATTTGAAATCGGGAGGCGATTATTTCGCCGACAATCATTTCACCGACAATTATTTCACCGACAAATGTTCACCAACATTATTTCAAAATATCCTTTTTAGGTAATAAATTGTCGGCGAAATGAACTGTCGGTGAAATGATTGTCGGTGAAATGATACGAACCCTTTGAAATCATATTGGATATTGGGAGGAGGATGTTTGCAATTGAAGTAGGAAAGAGCTTATAGAACTTATATCGAATGCCATCAGGACCAGGGGAAGAATAATCTTCTTTAGGATTAATTCTATTTTTTAAGCATATAATTCTGCGTTTAAGAGTAATCGTGTAACAAATCTGTCCATTCATTTTCTTGTTAAAGAACGGGTCTACTTATGACCCGTAATATTGTAAATTATAAATAAAATAAAAGTTAGAATTGCACAAATCAACATGCTTTAATTCGTAATATTGTTTCGGTTTTCAAATTATCCTTGGAAATGCAAAAATTTAATCAAACAAATGTAACGAGAGGCCACTTGCTTATTAGTCACTAGTTTTTTTTTTTTTTACATCAAAGTATCGGTATCGAAACAAAGATATTAATAAATGCGAAACAAGGTCTCTTTTAATAGATAAAGTAATTATCAAATTAGTGTGGGAGACAAGTTTTTTTACGTTATATTTTTGTTATAATTTCGGCAAGATTTCTTTATTGCACAGGCTAGCTGGTACGAATGAAAGTGCATGATGAGACGTCTGAAAAAGGGCCAACGAACAAAAGTAGCGTAAGAGTGTTCTTGTTTCTCTTTATACAGACACAGATGTAGATATAGACATAGAAATAGAAGTGCATATAGATATAGATATAGATATAGAATTCATAGATAAAAACGGCCAGCATAAACAATTAACCCCAAATAAAGCGAGGGATACACATAAAAGGTCGAAAATGTTACACTAACATGACACTTTGAGCCGGCCGTTTTAATGCTGTAATGTTAATAAATGACGCCGTGGCTTAGAGCGCTGCTCTAATCCATTTTGTCAACGCTAGAAGAAATCTGCATTGTAACAATGTAGGCAGCTGCGTGACTAGGGCAGTTTGGTCAAACCTATAAAAGATTTTGAGAGAAACTGTATCGTTGTTTGGATTGCTTACAACAATACACCGAGCAACCGTTTGTGAAGTTGGTAACGGATCAGTTTTGATGCACGTATCTACGCATGTTGTAATGCTTAAAAGTTATAACAGGTATTTAGTACTTTATCATACGTACATAACTCCAGTCATTACGTACTCACCATGATTGGTTATCCAAAGCACGAAATACCTTTGATTTCGGGTCAATGAGTTTAGCAAAGTTAGTCGAATTCACAACAACCGAAACAAAGCTCTGCATGCAAGGCAGGTTGTCGGGATCGATCCAGGTTTCATTTTTCGTGTTGCCAAAATTGGGCGTTGATCTGACTGTCCGGCGGTTATACGTTGTTACAGAATAGCCTGGGGGGGGAAGAGGGGAAAAAGTGAGTGTCTGCTGTGCGGAATGCAAAATTGTAAATATTAGCTCTCGAGGTACTTACTCGCTATATTCGCCGAATTTGAAGAGCACACGTACCTTTGATATAAAAAAAAAGTTGAATTAGAAACATAGATAAAATGACAATGTTTATAATAAGGGATAAAAAAACATATAACTTTGAATGGGTCAAGGTAAGTATGACCCGAGAATTCAACCCTGATTCAAAATCGAGCCAGTTTCGTTTAAAAGACACGATTTTATCAATAAAGAACGTTGACCCAAATGTCACTTTTCATTATGATATTAGATCTGTGTTTATTTCAGCTGGTTACATGTCGAGTCAAAGTGTAAATATCTTACCATATGTTTCGTGGTAGTAAAACAACATTGCCCGTTCGGAATTGAGCTTTTACTAAGCTTTGCTAAACAATGACAACGTTTCTTTAGGAACATATCAATAGGCGACAATGTCTTTTGTTTGTAAGTTTACTTACCGTTAAAATGAAAGAAAGTATAAGGGTTAGAAGTAAACGCTGCATCATGGCTTGAAACAGCTTGGTCTTTGTATTGTTATATATATAGTGTTCTTTCTTCTACTATTTATATATACCGTATATATTATTTGCCTTTAGACAGTAAAATTGTTCAGAACTTCGTTTATTCTATGATATAAGGAACACTTTGAACACACGGTTGACGTTATTAATCGCTCAACGTCAGCAAATTCATATATTAAAAATAGATCATCAAAACTTCTTTGCTTGGCACTCTCATTTTGGGGAAAGGCTAAGCGGAACAGAACGTGATCCTTGGCATTTGTAGTTTATTGGCTGCCATACAAATTTGACCAATGGATTGCGAGAGATCTGCTCGTTTTAGATCTTTTTTTGGGACACATGGTAACACTCACTGTGAGTGGTGGTCTGCTCTCTCGTATGATTTATTAAGATTTATAGTTGTACAATAAATGAAAACAAATTTACTGTCGACCGTTCAGGCCCGAAGATCGTCTCTTCATATACTGGCATTCATTTTGTAGGATATACCATTAGCAGTGAGGTATAGAATGCGATAATGATTTACAGAATAAACTTTGATCGACAACTATCAAGGTTGTGTGCTACCAATCGTGCACAGCTGGTTTCCAAAACCAGGTTTTCGAAGAATATAGAATTATCCCGAAATTTCCATTAAAGATACTGCACAATAACATTATTAGTTGTTTTTTTTGGGATAAAAACGTGGAGATAGAATACTGTGGTTTCGGATGTGTGACGTGGTGAACCATTATATCGGATTTATTCAACGACTATTTTCCGAAATCGTTGTTTGCTCGGACAGTAAAGATTGTTGAACCGCTGAGCATTAATGTCGAGACTTTTGCAGAGACAAGGCATTTGAATAGCTACAGTCGCACCTGTCTATTTGCATAACGTATTTGCATAATCTGTTCATTTGCATAAAGGAGCCCTGGTCCTTAGGGGACCTATTAGCTATTTGCATAACGTGAACGTGCATATTGCATACTATAAAGGAGATCAACCAGACGATTTAAATTTATTATTGTGGCGTAAAAAACTACTGACATCGCTTTGTTTCAGAGACTCAAAATACATCATTTGCATGGTATTTT